CTGTAATTTATTTTCTTTACCTTATTTAATTTAATTGGTAATAATCTTTGCTGTGATTAAAATTTAAGATGGCTGCATTTTATGGTGTGTAAATGATACTTCAATAAAGCTGATTTTAATGATTTAGAGAAACAATTTTATGAATGTAAATACAGTCAATCTTTCATATCCTTGAGTTCCACATACTTGGATTCAACTGACCACAGATCAAAAATATTGGGAAGAAAATTTCATCTGAATTAAACGAGTACAGATTTTTTTTCTTGTCATTATTTCCTAAGTAATACATTATAACAACTATTTGCATTATATTAAATATGTAAACTAGAGATGATTTAAAGACAATGGGAAGATGTGTACAGGTTATGCCATTTCATACAAGGCACCTTGGATTTTGGTACCTGTGGGAGTCCTAGAATCAATTTCTCACAGATGACAAGGGACTATATGTTTACATGGGATCACTGAAGGGGCCTGTAAACCCCAAATCAGTGAGCATACCTACTACCCAGATCATGTTGTTTAAAGATAATTCTCCATTATAAAGAAGTAGGGGTGCTCCACACAATGGCTAATTTCAGAGATTGGAAAGAACAAACAACTAGAGTATCTTGTTGGGGTAGAAAGTCATCAAATAATTACAGAAAAATAGTCCACGTTTAAAGGACAAAGACACCAGCTGAAGGAACTTTCAATGGCCAACTGTGGGAGAGTTTGAGTATCAAAATGCATAATCACAGCAAAGATTATTACCAATTAAATTAAATAAGATAAAGTAAATAAATGACTACATTGAAATGGACGAAGAAAGAAATTTTATATAAAGTATCTTCCCATAAAGTATTTTCAACTACAAAGTGAAAAGGTACGATGCTACAGTGGAGAATCATGGTAGATACAGCTGTAAGCAAGTGATCCAAGTAACCATCATTACTAATTATATTTCATTTATAAATCAAAATTGTGTCTCATCTAATAAGGTGTTCCATTCACCCCTTCCAGTACTAAGGACCTCTCAGATTCATCTTGTCACTCAATTATTTCCTGATCATTTTTACATTTTTAGATACACTGCACATTTTTTTTTCTAATTAAATCACTTTCCATTTCCTCAGCATTTGGATAAAAACAGATAGCAACATAAATATCATGGGAAGATTTTATCTGGAGATTCAACCTCACATCTTTTTAAAATATCAGACCTCTGTTAACGAGAAAGCTTCCATCAGACAGTGGATTATAAACATCTGGCACCCCAAGGCCAGTGACTCAGTTACTGGCTGACATTTCAGCCTCGGAACTCATCCAGCGAGTAGCCTCTAAACTATAATTTCTGCTAAACCTCTGAAGCAAAGAGACATACGTCTACACCTGGAGACTCAAAGTACAGCCTGGGGGCTTCTGTCATGCTTGGTAACAGCACAAAAGCTTTGTAGGAAACTTAGCCACCTGGAGGTCAGAGCAAAATGACAGTGACAGCTGCAATCACTCAAGTACAGAGAGGAGAAATGTTTCTTTTCTTGCTGGACTGCATGGCCGGCTGGGCACTGGCCACTTGTGACGAGAGGAGAATTCAATTCATAACCTCACTGTGTTCCTTGGGCAACACATGCATACTTGCTGACTTCTGTAAGGGTTTCTAGTAGCTCTGCTTCTCAGCCCTTTGTCCTTATTTGAACATAGAGCACTAATTCCTGCTTTAACACCCTTCGTCAAAGAAAATTAAATCTCGGGTCTCTGGGGTATTCCACAGGCCTGAGAACAATGATCCCAGTCTGGAAAAGAATCATTCTTACCTGATGATGCAAAGACTGTAACAGACAAAAATATGTTATTTAACTTTTAAGCTCTAAAATAGGTCAAAATGTTTAAACATCCCATCTTTACTAATCGATTTTAGAAATGGAGTGATGAAAGCAAATACCTAAGACTAAGATGAATCTTATGCAACAGAGCCCAGTTAATGCATTACGTTAAAAGCAGGATTCATATTTTGTTATAAATCAAAGAATGTTTGCATCATTGTTCTACTGTACGTTAAATGACATATATACTATTATTCATGAAGCAGGGTATGTTTATACTAATTTAATTTCTTTAAAGGCTTGTTTCAGAACTAGAAAGTCCATAAAACAGATCCTTTCAGAATTATTGTCAAGAATAGTCTGACTTTAAAATCACTCTGTCATTCACTCGACCCATGTGGTGAGATGGCCAGAATGTGCTTTCCATTAGCCTACACTTCTCTACTGCTCAGTGTGCTTATTTATGACTGAATACATCATAATTCAGAGCTCTACTGTACAAAAGGCCTTAAAAACTTTTGAAACAAGAAAATTGGTAAAGTCAGGGGAAAGGAAATGTGACTGGCCAAAAATATATTGAGTACTAAACCTAACTAATAATTAAGAAAATGAAAACTAAAAAAATGGTATGATTAGAATTGACAAAAGGAGCATTCAATGATAATATTCAGTGGGTAAGATGTGAAAAAATAGGCTGTGGTAGTGAAAAATGATAAAATCTCCGGGAGCAATTTGACATTATGTTTTAAAATATAACACTCATATCTCCTTTGCTTAGTCTTCCATTTGCAGAAATTTATTCTATAAACTCTCATATCCACATACTGATATATATGTACATATATATGTATACACGCACATGCTAATTGTCATTGGAATTTTTTAAAAATTGAAAGCAACCTAAATGCTCATTAACAAGAAGCATATTAAAGATAATATATAACATGTATCATGTCTATTATATTATACAAAGAGGTATAGTATATTAGCACATTCATCCATTAGAATGCTATAATGTGAAAAAAAAGAGCTGTCTCAAATGTATCAAGATGAAGAACATATTTGGGTAAAAACTGGTTATATGTGTCTATATATAGCTATATATGCTTGCACAAGCAGAGAATGTTTTTAAAAGCACCATAAAAGTCTCTTTACAGTAGTAATTTCTGGCAAAAGAGAAGAAGGTTTCAAAATTAAAGAACAACTTGCTTTTGTCATTGTATACTTTTTTGAACTATTTGGATTTTTATAATATATACATATATTACTTCCTTAATTAAAGAACTGGTATAGTTGTTGAAAATTTTGAAAGAAATAAAATTAATAACATCTAGCAGTTTTGTAATGGTTACATGTAATTAAAGAATCTATCGCTCAAAGGAAACAATAGGTCAAATCTAAATTCAAATCATCAAAGGTTTTTATATGAAATCTGGTCCAAAATGTTCCAGGGCAATCTACTAATTTATGTGAAAGATTATCTCTTACAAGTCATCATTTTTTCATTTTCTAAGCTGTGTTCTCCAGGGGCAATTTTTTTCTGAAAAGCAGCTCAATACACATATATGTAAATGACTTTTAAACTTTTCACAGCTTGTTAAGTCCCAATTGTTCTTTTTTCATGTATTTTTTTTCTAAAAAAAGAAAAGAAAATTAACATTAAATAAAGAAAGGATATTATAACAACATTGTTCATATTATCATTAAGGAAAATCATTTATTTTGAATGATGTAGATATTTGGATATGCTTCTGTTAGTGGACACCTGGGTGTTTCCAGTTTGGGCAAACCTGATTAAAGTTCTACTAATATTATTGTATAAATCTAACAGTGAACATAAGCACTGTTTTCAACACATTCCAAATTTAATGAACTCAAAAGACTATCTGATTTACTTCTCTCATTCACTTTATTTTCTCATTCCTTTTCCTGTTCACAGGAAAAGGGCTCAGCTAGGGAGGTCTCATTTAGGGTCCCTCAAATAGTTGCAATCAAACATCAGCTGGTGTCTCAGGCATCTAGAATTAACTAGCCTGGATATCCTAGACAGTTCCTTCACATAGTGGGAGTTCTCTGTGTGTGTCCTCTCCATCATGGTGAACTTAAGGTACTCAGATTTCCCACAAAGTAGCTCATCTCCTCTAGAGCAAGCATCCCCAAAGTAGCAGTCAGAAGCAATACAGTCTTTCAAGACCTCTTCTATGTCTTTAGCCAGTTGTTAAACACTGACCCAAACACTACTGACTTAGCCTTTCCTGCTTTGCTTTCTATGTTTGTCTCTATGTTGAAAACTGCTTTGAAAAACTATGAAGTGTTTCACAAAAAATTAGAAAATAAAAACAATAAGAAAAATTTGACTTCACCTCTATGACAGAAGAGCTTACTAAGATATAAGTTAGTCTTTGAACCTTACTGTATTATACCTTTCGGTTTTCATCCGGGTAGCCAGTCATCTTGCTCTTTGATTCAGGGTCACTATGAAACTGAAGCAAAAATTCCTAACAATTTGCCCCTTGTTTTTCATTTTCATAAAAAGAAATACTTTATGACAAAATTATGCTATAGAACATCAAGAAAAAAGCCAAATGCCTTTTGAGAGGCAAATAATGGACTGGAGAGAGACATACAAATGATGGGCCCCTACATATTCTCTTTGTGCTTTCCAAAGCTAATTACTACCAAGCCACCATCATATACATCTGGAGTTGTTAAACTACAGCACTTGTGTTGGCACATGTTTTGGTAAATAATGTTTCTTTGGAACATAGCAATGTCCATTCATTAAGCTATTGTCTGTGGCTACTTTGGGGCTAAAATAATAGAGTACTTACTACCTAAAAAGTCTTAACCCTTGTCTATGTGAATGGCAAAACTAGAATTAGCTATTACAAAACTGGCATAATTACTCAGCAGCCCTGAAACTACAACTCCCTGGCAAGGGTTACCAACCCAGCTGAGGAGAGGAAGCTGCTTTATATGATATGTGAACTTCAGTGGGGACTGCATTAGTTGGATGTAAGAGGATGCATTTTAAAAGAGACAAAATCATGACCCATATAAAAATTAAATGAATATGTCAATAATTTTATTAAAGTGAGAACCCGTCACATATGATAATCTATTCAAATGGGAGATTGGACTTCTAGGCACTTATATTCTTTATTTTGTCAAAGAAAACCAGAGAAAGATAGTAGCTGAAGTGGTAAAAACAGATTTTAATCAAGAATCATTGCAATAGGGGAAAAAGAAAACTCAGTGCAGAACTGGGATCCATTCTGAATACAACATGGACAAGTAGAAATATATTGCCAAGGGGTGGGGAAGGGGGATTATTGGGTAGAAAATTACAAATAGGATACATCAGGGTAAAAAGCGATCTTGGCTAAATAGATCTCACAGAATTCCTGCTGAAAGCTAGCCCAGAGTGTAGACAGGAATGAGGAATGTGATCAGTCATTCAGAAAGGGATTCTGGCTAAAGTAACTTTGCAAGATTATTGCAGACTGATAAGGATAGAGGCTGAAGGTTGAGGCATAGAGGGCTTAGAAGAGCCCGACCAGAGTTTGATGAGGGAGAGTCTGACAAAGAAGTCCCCTTCTTGTTCATGGGAAGAAGAAGCATTTTTCTTGAACAATAAAACGTCCATTTTACATCTGGTCACCTTTTGTTTATCAAGGACCTTCTGAACCAGCTGTTAAGACTTGGTAGTGGAGGATAGTTCCTGGATGGTACTTGAAGTCAGGCATTTAATGAGGAAATTTTCTATAAAAACAAGAAAGACAAATATTAACATTTGGAGCAGATTTTAAACCTGATTTTTGAGTCCAGAGGGTACAAGGTTGAGAATAATTCTACTTGTTGAGCTCAAAGCACCTTCATACAATGAGGATGAGAATAGTGATCGGACAGATTTCCCAGTTGTAGTTTGAAGTCTTTAGTGTTAGCACCTACATCAATGTCACAGTGCCATGAAAATATTTGTATATTTGGTAAGTTTTGGAATCCTGGAGGGTTCAGGCAGGAAGAAAAGATGTTTTATTTTTATTTACAATAACATAATTTACCAAATGGGAAATTCTAAGAGAAAAACATAAGATAGAACATTAAAGAAGCACCAATGTTTCAATCAAATACCATCCTTCCAAATACTAACTTTCATCAGTTAATTCAATCCCATGTAATTAATACTTGTTCTTCTCAATCCTGAGCTAACAGATTTATGAGCCTCTCCAGAAGCATTCTGGAAATTCTTCCTCAGTACAGTGGTATGGTCTCGAACTTATTTAAGCAATTCCATCAGGAAACATTCTGGCCTATAGCTCTTAGAAAACACATTCAAGAAAAGAATGGGAGTAAAATGAAAACTAACTATAAATGATGAAAGACTTGAAAGGGCTATGGTTAAGTATGATGAGAATTCATTTGATAAGAAAACTAGATTATTCTCATGGTATATATTTTTAAATAATAACCAAATGCTTGACTAACACTATACCAGGACATATTGTAACAGGGCTCCCTTTAGAATTAAGAGGATTTAAAAGAAGTATCCAATCTGAACAACCTGAACTTTGAAAGTTTTCTTATTGCCAGCTCCACCTCATTTTGGGAATGGAAACAGCACCAAACCCCTAGTACCAGGGAAAACTGGATTTACAAACCAGACTTACAACATACTATGCATATTTCTTGGATTTTGTTCTCCTCTTATAAAATTCTGATGCTATTGTGAGTTCAGGAAGACAAGGACTAGCTGTCTTTCCAGTTTGAGCCAAACTATGAATAAATCATGTATTTATTTCACCACTGCTTTTCTCTTGCAGGATTTTTTTTTTTTTTTTTTTTTTTTTTTTTAACTAAGCAATGCAGACCCAATCAGGAGGGACATTGAAGGTCCAGGTCTAGAGGGGTTAGAAGAGCTCAACTGGAGTTGAGCCAAGGAGAGAGTCTGTCAATCTGATAAAGTTTGTATTGCCATGAACAGGAATCATTTCCTCAGCTATATTCAGGAAACATTTGCATTTCTATTAGTGTTCTATAAGTTAACTTTTTTCTCTACTGAGTTGTAAAATAGTCCGAAGTCAAAACTACAACCAAGAGAGGACCATGGATGAGCTAACCAGAATGCTTACTAAATTTTAAAGTCTTGCACACTTCCCCCTAAAACCAAAGGCCACAGAAAAATCCCACAAAAGATTTGCTTTTACTGCAGCAAAATAACCGGGGGGTGACGAGCAACTTGTGTAGATTGATACAGCTGGAGTGGGAGCCGTTTATTGTAGGACAGGAGGGGTATATATACATTCCACACAGCTTATCTTAATTAACATAAACTAGATACAGCAGTCAACCAATACGGAATCTCCACACTTAATGGCTCGCTGGTGTTACTTCACAAACCACTCCCTCTGGCAAAATGCCAGGCGCCATCTTGACTTGTTTACAGACCCTAACACAAAAGATTTGCTTTTTATAAGCATTTGGGATTTTCAATGACCCCAAGGAAGCCAGATAATAACTGAGACCAGGTGGTTGGATCTCAGATTCAGAATATCTTTGGTTTAAAGAAAATAAAGTTGTTGATATTTCTTGTACCTTGGGGTTAGTGTAATAACATTCATTTAAGTTATAATTCAACTTCCTTAAAGATAGAGACTTTTCTGATCTACTTCTATTTTCTTAGAACTGACACCAGGTAAATAAATGAATAGAAAATCTTTGCTAAATGAACAGAATATCAATGAGCAAAATAAATATAACAGAAACTTGATTATTTCTCAGAGTTAAATACAACTTCTTTGGGGGAAATAACATCTCACTATGAACTGTCTCACATAAGCATTGTGCAAATTCTTACCTAAAGTCATTGGATCCTGTGTGAGATCTAATTTGGAAGCCCAGGGATTGCAGAGTGAGCTGTGGGTCTGTCTGTTTTCTAAGAAAACTAAAGAGCCTCAAGCAGAGAATTATTTTCTCTTGTCAAAAAATATTTATGCTTTAACTGAAAAAATAGACCTCAGAAAATACCTTCAGAATTTTCTCATTCTACTCTTTTAATGTCTTTGAGCTATTTTGTAATTCCATAAGTTAGAGACAAATGGCAACAATACAAATAATTCTGGTCTATTGGTTTTTTAATTAGGTTCTGTCCACTGGAGTTCAATTGCCCCCTTCTTGTGGAAAATCCAATTTTGCCTCCACTGCACATTTAGCTCAACATTCCTGATTTATAAATATGTCTGTTCTTCAGATTCTCTTTTGAATCAGTTATAATATCTGCCTGGTTCCCTCATTGGTAAATGAGTAGATTAAAGCCTTTAACACCCATTTATTTGTATCTCTATGAAAGTCATGATTTCATCCTTTTTAAAAACATATTTTTTAACTAACACTCTCCAAAGTAGTATTTAGGAGAAAGTAAATATTCCATTCAAAACATAAGAGAAAAAAATAGAAAATGAGAAAGAAGACACCTGGGCTGTCAAAATAAATTGGAAGCTGAGTTTGGAATAATTACCAGTGTGTTCAAAGGATAGATTTCATTAACATTCATGCATATAATATATGATATAAACTTTCTGAGGTTACAATAGTATTTAGGTAATACTCTGAAAACTACTTGTAAATATTTTATTTTAATTATTGGCCCTATTGCCTTCATCTAAATGTAGAGAGGAGTGTAATCTAAAGTCAATTTCCTTTTTCTCCTCCTTACATTTATTTTCTCCTCCCTCAGTTAGTTAAATATCAATGCAAAATTCACATAAGTGTTAAGATGTATACATATTGTAGAACTTAGTTATCCTCCTTGAATATGGTAAGACATAGCCTTTGGGTCATTCCCAAGTGAGATCCTGTGACAGCCTACTTCCTCCAGAATGGAGTTAACCTTCTCCAGAAGAGAGAAATCTATGGTAGAGTTTCAAGTTTAGGTCATAGGATCTTATTATATTAATCAAATTTAATGCAAGTTACATATCATTCCTATACTCAGGAATACAATTATATGATTAATTCTCTGGAGAAACAGAGAAGAATCTCCAGGGATAAACAGAGCTTCCCTCTAAATTCTAATTAGTTGAGCTTGGGAGAGGACACAGGGACAAGCTAAAAGAGCTGAACTCATTCAGTAAAATGAATGCAGTGTCTTTCCAGATCCCAGAGCATTGTTTGGGGAAGGAAATTTTAAGACTGAACATGAGAGAATGTTTTTTTTAAAAAAGGAGACAACACATAAATACCTTGGAGTTTTTGCATGTTCTAAAAGCAACACAGTACGTGCAAGTAGACACCAAATGTTTCCCTAGAATCCAAAAACAATCCTGGTTGATTCTTTTTAGTGCTGCATTAAGTAGAGGGGGAAAAAAGTTACAGGCTTTCACCAGCAGAGGGAAATACTGTCCTAAGGAAAAATATGTAATCTCCTGCCCATATCTCATCATAATTCTTCTGTATAAGCAAAAGATGAATGGTTCTCCTTGGTTTTCTCATTTACACTGTGCTCAACAGCAGGGAATTTGCTATTCTATACCTATGGCATATTTGTTTTGAGAGCGCAGAAAGAGGATCCTGGGAAGCTGTGAGCTCAGGGGAGAGTCAACTGAGAACTGTCGGGTTTTAGGAGACAGAAGGCTGAATTATAGAACAGTTCCATGTACAAAGGAAATAAAAGCTTTCCTTACCTACTCATGACTCACTCTTTCCTCAAACCCCCAAACCTAAAGCTTATTCTGGAATCTCAGTGGTTGCTTATTGGCTTTTCCCTATGGGAGACTATTAGCCATTCTCAATCAATAGAAACCTCTAATGCACAGGCATTCATAATTGGTCCTTCAGGAGCTATGGATTTTAAAGTGTCTAGCTGGTTTCTACTGAATATTGTCATAACCCTGTGGCTTAAAGCATTCCCAGCACTGCCAAGATTAAGACACTGATTGTATGAAGGGAAGCTGAATTCTGCAAAGGAATTAACACAGCAAGTACCATGTGCAGAGTAAATGGAGGATCTGTTTTGTTGTAAGACACCATGCCTGAAGAATTTCCCTGTAAAACCAGCTTTAGAACCCCTCCTGTAGTCACAGCAAGCAGAGGCTACTTTGTCACAGGAAAAAGGAAAAAAGTCTTTAACAATAGTATAGCACTCTCAGGTTAGAGAGAGTGAAATGTTGCCTTAAACAGCTCTCTTTATTGTTGACAGAAGGAGAAAAAATTATTTCCCCCAAATATCTTCCATCCATAATCCCTGGGTTTAACTCCTTGGTTGAATCTCAGATAATTGATGGAGAAGGAAGGTCAACTGAAAACCTTTCCTTTCTGTTTCATAGAAGCATAATATAAAAGTTCAAGTCCAATCAGAAGTCAGAAATCACTCACTAGTTTAAATAGGGTTAGTTTAATATAAGAATTTCTAAAATATGATCAGAGAGTAGTTGTAAGAAATTTCACTAACTACAATATGCCACTCCAGGACTCAGAGAAAGCATATCTAGGAAGGAGATCCTGTTCCCTGAAACTGAATTCAGACATCATTGAAAAAGGTGAGGTCTTAGCCCAGTATTTGGTTGAGGGGGTAGCTAGTTTGCCTGGGCCAGATCTGGCCTGTGGTCACTGGGCAAGCTAGAAGCAACTCTTTGAGGATCAGGCCTCACACAGCCAGTGGCCAGAATGCCAGCAGGTAGAAATCACCCCCAGGCATGGCAGAGTACAGATTAATCTCAGCCAATGGTCAGGGATGTGGGCATGCTGAGCAGGTGAAGGCACCC